TGCCTACTGCTTCAGTGACTCCATTCACCCACCTCATTCTCTGTCGTCCCCTTCTTCTATTTGCCCTCAATCTTTCCCCGCATGAGGCTCTCCTCCAGTGAGTCCTTCCTTCTCATTAGGTGGCCAAAGTATCTGAGTTTCAACTTCAGGATCTGGCCTTCTAAAGAGCAGTCAGGGTTGACCTCCTCTAGGACTGACCGGTTTGAACGCCTTGCAGTCCAGGGGACTCGCAGGAGCCTTCTCCAGCACCATAGTTCAAAGGCCTCAATTCTTTGTCGTATGGTCCAACTTTCACATCCATACATTGTAACTGGGAAAACCATGGCCTTGACTATACGCACTTTTGTTGGCAGGGTGATGTCTCTGCTTTTGGAAACCCCTCAATAATGTTAATTGCAATGTTTTTAAGTGCTGAACTGGGAGCGGGAGATGGCGCACTATCGCCACGATGGCCCTGTGGAGTGAGGGAGCGCCGTGTGTTACCTGGGTCTGAAGCCGAGCGACAATTTCCTTCCGTGCTTTCATCACAGAGTCCAGTTTGCCAGTCACCATGATGGACAGGCCCTGGTCCTTGGCCAAGGAAAGCTCAATATGAGCCCCCGTCTTCTGCATGATGTCCACACAGACTTTGGCCTCATCGCCTTCTCCAAACTGGCTGTTGTCCTTATAGCGTCGCTCTTCCAGAGGGACGTGAAACACCTGTCAAGAAGAACTAGGCACTGTTATCGAAATGCTACAACATTTCCAGGCGAGAACAGGTCTTGCTGGATCCTAAGGGGCTGCCACAAAGAAGAGGGGGTGTGTGTGTGTCACCTTATTCTCCAAAGAACCTGAAGGCAGGACTGGAAGCAATGGATGGAAGCTACTCAAAGAGAGAACCAACCAGAACTAAGGAGATATTTCCTGACGGTTAGAACAATTAGTGGAACCACTTTCCTCCAGAGGTTGTGGGTCCTCCATCATTGGAGGGTTTTTAAAGCAGAGTTTGGGCAGCCATTTGTCTGAAATGTCATAGGGTCTCCTGCTTGAGCAGGGGGTTGGACTAGACCAGGGGTGTCAAACTCAATTTAATTGAGGGCCGCAGCAGCATCGCGGTTGCCCTCGGGGGGGGGTGCGGCCTACTGGGTGGGCGTGGATGGAGTGGGTGTGGCCTACTGGGTGGGCATGGCCAGCTCTACATCGTTCGCGTCAAGGGTGCCTGTGGGGGGCCTGGGCAGGAGTGGGACAGATCTGAGGGTCTCTGGCAGAAGGGGGTGGGACCGGGGCAAGCGCCAAGGCATGGTCCATTCCTTCATTCCTCACAAAGGGTGACACCTCCCCAGCATGCACCCAGGGGACGGGGCCGACGCGGCAGGGGCTGGTTCCTCGCTGTTTCTAGACGGCCTTGTGGAGCTAAGACTGAATGCGTTTCAGCATAGATGGCCACCGCAAAATTGTACATTGGCTCCCGGCCGGCCTGGGCCAGGGCCAAGGCAGCGGGGGCCGTTCCCTCACTGTTTCCAGGATGGCTTCGTGGGCCACATGAAACCACGTCGCGGGCCGCATCCGGCCCCCAGGCCTTGTGTTTGACATGTCTGGACTTGACCTCCAAGGTCCCTTTCTACTCTTGTTATTCAGATCGCGCCAAAAGAATTGATCCAGAACACAATCTTCTTTGCCAGAATTGGAGTCCGCCCATGTTTAAAGTTGCTGAGGTTGAGAAACGCTGCTCCAGACTAATTCCCTGGTTATCACAGCAGGATGCAAAAAACTCTTCCCTCCTCCCCTCAATTCCTGTATCTCTTTCTAAGCAGAATTCAATCAAGAGATTTTAAACAAGAGGGGGTGGGGGTGGAAATATTGCAATTTTGGTGTTTTTTTTCATTTCCCTGTCTTATGATTATTTTTCTAGACCAGTGGCTCTTAAATGGTTTGACCCAATTGCCTCTTTTCCCAATCGCCAACAATGCCATTAACCCACACATCCCCACAAAAAACAGACTCTGAGGAATCCCCGGTGCTCTCTGAGCTTGGTTGTTTTCTTGCAGACATTTCAGGACCCGAACTAGGTAACATCGTCAGTGGGAGGAGGAGGAGGAGGAG